GAAATTGTAAGCATGTGTTCATCAAAAATAGATGAATCTTTGAAAAATATCAAAAAAATATATTACATGAAATAAATTGATCAAAATGCTCCCAAAATGTTTTCGGGGGTATTTTGGTATTTTGTTTTCTCAAATAATTTTTTTTATATTTTTATTAGGTGTGCCTTGATGAGAAGAGCACATATTTAAAATTTCAAATGATTTGGACTTGTAAAAAAAAAAAATTCAAGCACTACCAAACATCTATGATCGTCGAATCGGTTCAGATTCAATCTGGACAGTTAGGCTCATATGTTCATATGAACTAGTGGGCTAATCCCATCTTTTCCATAACCTCTTTGGTTTTGTTGAACAACCGGTCCCACTTTAATTTTTAATATTTGTTCCAATTGTTTTGTTCCTTAAGTTTTTGTAATTTTTATTTGATCGGTTTGCTCGGTCTAGAGCACCGATTCTCTAAAGCGGCGATCCAGTTCACCAAACCCTGGTTTTAAACCTTGGGTTCAAAGAGAAATAGGAAGGCCCAATAAAAGAAAAAAATGAGGTTAGTTTTGAAATGTTGGGGTTAGGAGAGTTCTGTTTAGTGTTTTCAAAATCAGAATCAAGGTCTGACTAAAGTCCCATAGTAAATCGAGTCAATTTGAAGATTCTAATTTCGCCCTAGTCACGACAATTTGTCGGAACTCTACTCGGAAAAATGGAAATTATGTAAATTTATTTATATCAATTTATTTTAGGTTTATAAAACAAATTAGGTCACTAGTCTTTTGATGAAATTATAAAAAATACCTAGACACTGAAAGCTTGATTCCTGTTTGAGTTCCACACATTTGACTTCAGCGTCTAGAATGGAGTACATCACAATTATGAAACATGATTAATCAAATATGAAAAAAGCATACAAATAAGTCAAAAATATATAATCTACAATAGGGGTGGTAATGGACCTAGACCGACGGCTTGACTGGACCTGGGTTGGGTATGGGTCCAAGAATTAGACCCAGTGGGTCAGGTCCAAGTCCAAATCTTGGACCCGAATACTATTTGGGTCTGGGTCCGAGTGCAGTCGGGTTCGGGTCCAGGTCCCACATTTCTCAATTTATGAAAATATATTAGAATATATTTAAATACATAGATATTTTTATTTTTGGGTCAAGTTCAATCAGGTCCTGTTGGATCCTAGTCTATTTCAGGTCCCACATTATATTTGGATCCAAGTCCAGGTCCGGATCTGGTGACTCGTTGCCACCCTTAATCTACAACACCAATATGAATGACGAGATTGAAAGAAATACTAATGTGACATTACCGGGGATTTTTTTTTTTCTTTTTCTTTTCACCTTTTTTCTTTTGTTTTGTCAAGATCACTTACAAGTAGTCTTATTAAAATAACTCTTGTTTCAAAAAAAATAAAACTAACAAATCCAATATCTTAAAAACCTTGATGCCATTAAACCAATTTTCTTTAAATAAATAAAATATCCACAATTCTTATGTTTGAAAATATAAAGACTAATTAAATATGACAAGAGACGAAAAGAGAGTGTCAGAGATTACCTCAACTGGGCTTATTACACCCCACACCGAGTCACCACCATCTGATGATGTAGGATCAATAATCAACATTCAATCTCAACCAGGAAAGCAAGTTTAGGATAAGTCACATCACTGGAACATGAACCCCTTTAATCACAAACTCAAGCCCTAAGTACATTCCTTTAACAACTTGGTTTGAGAGCGGTGGATTCTCTTTTTGCTACAACCTAAAACCCTTGGACATAAATCCATAGTTAAGAGAAGGGAGAGAGAAAAACTCCATAATCTAATTCTAAACCAATGGTTTAAAAAGCGGATCAGTGACCCGGATCGGGCATCTCAAAAACCGATCCGGATCGGCGAATCGGCGATCCAGATAAAAAATCGGCTGAATCGGTCGGATTAACACTTCAAAAAAATCTGAAAAAATTATTAAAATTCATTATAAATATTTTTTTTTAGGAATCCAATAAGAAATGAAGGTACTACATTATTAACTTTTATTTTTTTCATCAATTTGTGAATATTGATATGCTCTTTCCCTGTATAAATTTATGTTAACCATTAAATTTGCATCACATAAAAGAAAAATCATAGAATTATCATAGATAAAATATATAATTATATATAGAATATTATAAAGAGTAGACTAATCAATGAAAGAATGGCCATTAAATTCTCGTTTTGGCAAAAAACCCTAATCCGCTAAAAAAATCCAAATTATTACAGTCTAACTAACTATAATCCAAAATTATTAAAACCTAACTAATTATAATATTATAAACTGAAATTATAATTATTAGTTTACATTTTGTAATTGTTTTATTAGACAAATAATAACAAATTAAAAATATTTTATAATATTATCTAATTTAAAATGTATTATTGACAACTGTAAGAAAAATAGTACATTTATAATGTAAAAATTAAATAAATAAAATAAAAAATTTGGTTATCAATGTAAAAATTAATAAAAATACGTACAAATTTTTCAAAAATTTATTTTTTTAGGTTTTTATAATAAATTTAGTGAAAGAGATTGTTAGTAGAAAGATGGAGATTTCAAATAGAATAAACTTTTTATGTTTTATTTTTTTATATCTTTCATATTCTTTTAAAAAAATAAGTATACCACTATATACAACAAAAATTAACTTCTATACAAAAAATTAACTTTTTTATTTTTCATTTTTTTATGCTTTTTATATTATTTACAAAAATATTTATACAATATATACAACAAAAACTATACAACACAATAAAATAACGCCCACGGGGGGACTAGACCTTGAGAGGTCACATGAAGAATCAAAGGTCTTAACCACCACGCCACCTCACCATATGTGGTTATAACTTGATGATTAATAGAATATATTTAAATTCCCTTTTCATTTAATGATATTTGGGAATTATCACACATTAAAAGATGGGTATTCCACTTTGGTATATAAATACCTATGTAATATAAATTAAAATGTTTGTTCACGCATGCATGTGTGTGTCGCATGTGTGCAGAGAGGCAACAGGGCTGAACCGGGTAGAACCGGACAAGCGGATTGGAACCGACGGTTCTTCTCTAGAACCGGGCGGTTCCCGGTTTTGTATTGAAACCGGCACGGGCTGTGCCGGTTCCCGTGTCGAACCGAGCGAGTCTGGTTCGACTAGCCGATTTTTAAAACACTAGCTTAAACCCTTAGGTTCTTTCACAATGTGGGAGAGAGAGATATCTCAAATATGGGAGAATATGATGTGCCCCATTTTGAGCTTTCATAAGAGAGAGAAACTTTTCTTAAGGTGTAGAGATTTTAGGTAGAGACAATTCATTTTTTATAGGATTGAACAATATTATGGTTTCTTAGGGTTTTCCTTGGCTTGCCTTTTCTTATGAGATTCAATATGAACCATTGATCTTAGGTGACTTGTGGGGTGAGAGATTTGAGCCCTTCATTCCATAGATAACCCATCAACATTATGGAAGGTGCTAGAATCTTTAATTCCCTTTCCAAAATTATTTTCTCAT